TGGGGGGGGGGCGGTGTTGTCACAGTGGGCTCAACTACCGTCAGTAAAAAGTGTAACATAATCAAAATAATCTTACTTTAAACGATTTGCATAAATTCTTCGAAAGAGCAAAATCCGTATATGAAGTAATACCGGCGCATATGAGGCAATAGCATAATTATAAATAGATAAATTAATAGAAGGGTTGAAACACCAGTCACGTGATCGTTCGATGTTTAAGAGTAGGGGTTATCTTATCATGTCACGCAATCACGAGCCCTAATCCAACCCTAACCACTTATATTTCGTGATTGCGTGACATGAAAATGTAACCGTAAATACAGCAGTAAATTGAACTATTTAGAGCTATCACAAAAATAGGAACGCTAAGCGTACATGTATCTGCGACATATATAATTATAAGTGTTTACACTTGCAATTTTTGCTACGATTTCTAGACTGTAGTGCTACTTTCTTTTTCAATTTTCAAAAGTCGATTAGCTTCCCCCCACCTGAGAAAATTAAACTTATCAATTTTATATGATCATCAGTCAGGAAATAAAAAATTGATACAAACAATACTACACTTAGATTCTAGCATTGAATAAAGTGGTAATGAGGTCTGGTTTTCATGGTGAATAAAATAGCTGTTAAAAATTCCACTTGCAGTGATATTTCCATCAGTGTAACAAATGTTAGTTCCTTAGGTCAACAAAGCTAGCTGTGACGTTATTGTTGATATATAAACTGGGATGTCACACTGATAGCTTAACAATCTTCTTTGTCACCCATATAATCAAGATATGGCAAAACATTTTAGATGCCATATACTCTTGTTGTCGGCACTTGTAAATCAGTTCATACGCATAGAATTCTGACAGCTTTTGAAAACTTTATTGGCAGTAACTAGTGTGCGCCGGGCTTAAACACTTACTCCACGCATTAAGGCCTGATTCCACGACGGCAAAATTCTTCGCACGAAATCGTGTGTGCGAAATGCCGAAATATGATGGCTGCACATGAGTGATTCTATTGAATTTGCACTCTTTTTTCGCTTTCGCAGTGAGTAGAACGGACTTCTACTCCGACTGGCGAAGCGAAATTTTTTCTCGCGAAGCCTACTTTATCTTTACTGCGCATGCACGATTTCATTTCGTGCGAAATATTTCGCATTTCGCCGAGAAAAAGCG